TAAGTGTTATTTCAACTATTTCTGGAGCGGCATATTGTGTCCCTACTTATTATGATACTTATTAGAAAATAAAATGAAACAAATAAAACGTGACATATTTTTTCAGCTAAACATTAATACACAACTCTGTGATCTAAAATATTTGAATAAGTAAGTTATTAATAAGTATTTGTTTATTAGAGAAAAAACAAATGGATGTTAAAGTCTATGAGTGGAATTATACAAAGAAAATTAAACAGTCAAAAGAGCTAAAAGTATATCACAATGTACAGTTAGAACAGCTGTATCTGACTTAAACATGGTTTATGCGGCTGATCTGCATATTGCATGTCCATGTTGTTTACATTTTTTTAACGAAACTTGAATGAACATTCTAACAAAATAGATTGAAACTTGTAACATAAGTAACAAAACTATATGAAAATAACAATAAAACTATGTGAACAGAAAAAGAAAGCTATAGGAAGAATATTATTATAATATAACACTACGAAATAACCATTAAATATTTTGTTTTTAAATTTTATTTATAAAAATGAGGTTTCCCCGATGGGGAATCGAACCTTTGTCTGCTGGGTGACGGTCGGAGATACTGACCACTACTCTACCGAGGAGATGTGTAAACGAACTTTTTACTTTATATTCATTAATTAATTTATCACATTCTGTGAATAACGTTTAGCGTTATCGTCAGACCGAAATCTGTGAATAACGGTGAGCGTTATCCGCACAGCTCTGTGAATAATCACTTCGTTTAATAATTGTTGACACTGCTGCAATTTAATTTAACTGACTCAAATCTCATTTGTCAATTGTCAATTGAGTTGCATTTAATTTATTTTAATGAATCAAATTAATTATTTATTTTTAGGCCTAACTTTAGTAACTAACAGCTGAAACGAAACTGTTATTTTGTTTGGTGTCAGACCTATTACATCATACTTAACAAGACTATGAGTCTATGAGTACATTGATTGATTGATATAAGCTATTATAGGCCATTGTTGTGGAGTGTGTCAAATCTGTCTCTTTCTTCTTCTTATTCCTTTCTATCCCGTCTGGGGCATAGTAGGCCGACCACAAGAATTTTCCATTCATCACGGTCCCGTGCTTTCCTTTCCAGTTGCTTCCCAGACTTTGCATGTCTGCCTCCCCATGTATTCTTTGATAAATGTTTGTTGGCCTTCCTCTCCTCTTTCTTCCATGTGGATTCCATGTTAAGGAATGTCTGGTGATGCTGTCAGGGGGTTTTCAGAAAATTTGAGCTGCTTGATGGCCAGAGCTATTTCTTCCTTATTAGTTGTGCTTTCTTCTATTTTAAGTCTTCATTTGCTGATTGTATGTCTGGTGTTTCTGTGGGTGGGGGTCTGTTTAATAGTTCCTTGAAGTATTCCTATCTGTGGCAGAATGCATGTTTCCAATACAAATATTCCAATATGAAAATCACTCAAATGTCAAATGTAAGAATTATGTTGAGACTTTCCGCTGTACTCAAATTATCCTTAGCCTAAGTGCAGCAACGCTGTGTCCCCTCCCAAACTCTTAAAGGCAAAGAAATCTATGCTAATAATAATAAAACACGTTTTTTAAAATTTATTAGGCTATAAGATATTTATTTTAAGGGGCCATCCATAAATAGCGTTAGGGGTTGGGGGGGGGGGTGTTTTTAATTACTACTTTTATCATTATTATTATTGACATGTTTTAAATTATTACTTTTACCATTATTATTATTATTGACATGTTTAAAAAGAAAATTATATGTGTACTTTAATTAAAGTAAAATTGAGTTCAGAAAGTTAAAAAAAAAATTTTTATGCATAAGATATCTCAAAGCTATTTTTTTTATTGTCAGCCACAGAAGCTAACAGAATGTTAAAAGAATCTAATAAATCATCAAAGTCATTACTCCAAAAATTAGGCTTTGGAGTTAAAGTTGTGTTAGTATTAGAAGGAGCTGCATTTATTGGATCTTACTTGATTTGGCGTAAAATGAATGACGATCAAGGTAATCCTCCTCTATCTAGCCATGTAACTACCAAATAATCAAAGTTCAAAGGGTTTACTGTAACTGTATGGTACATACAATACTGTGTCTACAAGGGAAATAATTCAAAATTGTTGTTTCACCTACAAGGGAAATAATTCAAAATTATTGGTTGTTTCCCTTTATTTGAGTCAGCTTAAATCATAAGCTCATCCTTGAATAAAATGTTGGAACTTACTGTCTTATACTTTTTAAATTGAACAGCAAATGCGGACAT